ACGAACAGGCCAGCCGTCGCAGCGAGAGCTCAGCGCTTCTGGCAGGGCCGTGCCGGCAGCTGCGGGAAGCGCGGCTCTCTCTTGTAAAGGAGAGCACACCCCCCTGCCCCAACCGCAGTGCCTGGAGACTTGAATGCCTGTTTAGGGAACAGCAGGGAGCTAAAGACACAAAGTTTGCTGGGCATGAGCAAACTAGGAAGCCCCTAGGAAGCCCCTCTTCTCAGCGGCAGTTTCCCACGCTCGCTGCAGCCTGCACGGCTCTTCCCCAGCCAGCGCTTGGCCACGGGAGATAAGCCCGCAGGTGACACGAGAGCTTTATTTAAGGGCTGTATCTTGCGATCCGTCAGCCGCAGGAAAAGAGGGCTGTCAGCACAAGGATGACTTCATCCTTCCTGCAGAGCTGCTCCACCGGGGCTGCCCCCACACACCTCCCCAAGCCCATCCAGCTGGAGGTGGGTCCTCGCTCGTGCAAAACAACAAACTCTCCGAGGCCTCACACTGCCTCGGGGACCGAACGCTGCGGATGAGGAACCGGGCCTCCCACCGCTGCTGCCCACGCAAATCAGAGAGGTCTAACCCAACAGCTCATTACCCCCAGGCCTCATGCACATGTGCATCCACACACGTGAACACACACACACACACACACACACACATACACACACAAGCGCATTCTTGGCTCAGAGTTAGGGATCAGATTAAAGACTTCTTCCTTGGGACCTGTGAGGTAATGTGTTAACCGGTCACCAGCAGGAACCCAGACTTCACAGACGTTTAACCAGTGAAGTGAGTGTAGCGGCCTCAGCTTCATCCTCTGAGGATGCTTTTTCCCCTTATTAAAAGCAAACCGAATGTGGCACATACGCTCACTGCATTCCCCTAGAAGAGTAGGTGCCAATGACTTCATACAAGCAAGACGAGAAGGGCCAGACCCTTCCAGGCTGCTGCTGGGCTGTGCTAGACCTGGTGGAGGTCCCGGATGCCAGGGGGGTGCGAGGTGGGGGGGGGAGTGAGGGGCAGGGTCTCAGCTGGCGTAACCAGGGCTGAGCTGGCGGGGGCCATGGGGCAGGAGCAGACTGGGGGACCCAGGGCCAGGCTAGCAGGGGCCGTGGGGCAGGCTTGGGTAAGCCCTAGCAAGCTGCTCTGCCTGTGCTTCAGCCCAGCTCTCCTACTCGGACTAGGGGAAAGCGCTCCCCTCCTCTCCTCTGCCCTGGCTGCCACCCTACGTAGCACGCCGTTTCTCTCGCTGTGCCCTGGCTCTCTCGCTCTTCCTCCCAAAGCTCCATCTTGCAGCCTTCCCCTCCCATCCAGCTCCACCCCCCCCATGCTGCACAGACAGGAAGGGCTGATCCTGGCAACCTCCCGAGTCCCAAAAAACACCACCATTACGAGCACATGTCCCCACCTTATATGAAAGGGGGGAGCCCTCAGGCAGATCCCCTTTGGGTTGCGCAGGCTCAAGCTACGCAGCCAGGACCTGCCTGCGTGCTGAAGCAACCGGCAGCTCGCGAGGCTGTGCCTGGCCTTTATTGGCAATGAAGAAGAAGGTTTTGGCAGTCGGCTGCGCTGCTCTCCCTAGCGCTATCCCACTGTGAAACCAGCTGCTGCAGGTCAGGGTTAAATCACAAGGAGTTCCTGTCTGTTCTTTCCAGCTCCGAGGATGAGGTCTCTGAGCTGCCTTCCTCCCCGTCCCAGCCACTCAAGGGGTCTCCTGAGCTCCAGCACTGACAGATGAGGACATCCCGTCTGCTAGCACTGAAACTGGGAGGGCGGGATGCCAGGACGCCTGGGTTCTGCTGCCAGCCAGGGCAGGGGACTGACAGGCAGGAGTCTCGTCCTGGCTCTGCCTCACTGTGTGGCCCTTCGTGAGTCACTTCCCTTCTCCCTCTCCCTTGGTTTCCCCACCGGTAAAAGGAAGAGTGTGTTCCCAGCTCCCCTCACACAAATGGTCTATTGCAGGTATCCAAAGAGCAGAGCCCTGCAAAACTTAGGCTCTGTGGCAGAGCTTTTCTGTTTCTTTTGCGTTCCAGGGAAAATTCATCTCCAGCTCTCCCCTCAAAGACCTCTTACCCTCCAGCCCCACGGCGCTGGCAAGCGAGGGTGTGGGAGGCGGAGAGGGAAGCAAGCTATCCCAGGAGCCCTGTAGCGAGGGCTCCCTGGAGACAGGGCTTTTCAGGGAGGACAGAAAGAAGGTGGCAGAGATCCCCCCGTGTGGGCACAGCCTCCCCCAAGACCTACCCATCCCCTTGCAGACAGGGATGGGGCCCGCACAGCAGAGAGGCCAGCCCTGAAGGGACAGGGAGAGCAAGGTGCAGGGTATGGGCAGTCCTTACCTTGAACTGAGCTTTCCCTGGCCTGCTGTTGTTGTTGTTGTGGTTCCTCTCGCCGCCGGTCCGGGCAGGGTCCCCGGGTCCCACTGCATCACCTGAGCCAGCCTCCCCATGCCAGTTAGACAGCGTGATCTTCTTAATGGAGCGGGCAAGAGAGTTGCGGTTAAGCTGGTCCTCATCGGTGACTCCTTCTTCCACGGGGCTGGTGCTGCGGGGCTGGCTGTCAGGGGGAGCGGGGCTGGCCCGGGCCTGGGCCAGGTAGAGGGAGATACGCTCGTTGAGGTTGTGTCGAAGGCCGCGGTGGTTATCCAGAGCGGAGGAGAGAGCGATGCCAGGGCAAGCATCCCCGGAGAAGTCGGCGGCACACTTGGGCAGGGAGAGCTTGGTGCTTATGGTGAAGGGCTGGACCTTCCTCGCCGTGCTGCC